TTTTATATTAATCGCGTTTTAAACATTTTTTTCTAAACATTTTTAAATATTTATAGGGTGCTGATGTTTGTTCATTTAAAAAATATCCCACGCTGTTTTAAGCATATACAATTTAAGAGCTCAAATGCAAAATACTTGATTATTTGCATCTAGTCAGAAGGTATTTCATGTGCGAGTCCCTATCTTCCCCTGTAAACAAGATTTTATTTGTATTTTTTATTTGCTATTGAAGCGTGTCCCATGCGGAGTAAACGGGTTGAAGGACACATGTGTGGATACGCGAGGCACGCACCAGAGATTTCTGAATTGCTGGCACACCCAACTCATACTTCAACCCGGTTACCTCGGTCCGGTGATTCATCACGGACTGCTTCCGGTTGGCACAGCGCAAATATTTTCATAATTCGCTAACTAAGCCAAAAGCCGCAAAAACTGCATGCCGCAGACCGAACCGAAAATCAATAAGTTTGGCGTACGTGTTACGCTCTAATGCTTCACGGAAGCGAGGATGTTGGCCAGGAGAAGTGATATAGACCAGGAGATATAGTGCCGTGGAGCAGAAGCGGTGCTCATAGCTCCGGGCCGCAATTGTGTACACAAACTTTTGCTTCGCAATTTTTTTTTTGGGCGTGGGTGAGCTCAAGCTGTCGATAACTTCATCAATGTGAAGAGGCTAACAAAAAGTGTATAAAGTTTTGCGATATTTTGGCCAAACGGGACGGGGGTAGCCACGTGTTGGCCATTGGAGAGTTGATAATACAACGAAACTCGGCATGCCACTTATTAATGGGCACTTGGCTGGAGATCCGAAGATGTCCCTGCTTCACCGAGGGCTCATCGCATCATCATCGTGGCTCATCATAACAAAAGATTATCGAAGTAACTTTTCCAATAATAGGCTCAAATGAATATGATTTGCAATGAGCCCATAGGACAGCTACGCGCTAACTTTTTGGCCGTCTGATATATGATTTGGCCAATTCGATTAGCGTTTTAAGTCAGTTGAGCGGTGTCTTAAGCTCTTCCAAGAATTTACAATACAAAAGTAAAAGTTCCTTTAAATATCTGTCAAAGTTATTTACAAATTGGAATTTATGGAATTGGCTTTAAGTCAAACTTTACAACTTTTATAACTTAAACCTATTGTTTGTAATTTATTGAATTAGGATTCCTTAAAAAAAATACACAAAATCAAAATTTATTATTATTATATATCAAGAGAAACCTTTTAAAATGGATTAGTTTTTATTAAAATATATTAACCATTTTTTATATTTTTTTAGACTTCATATACAAACATAGAAACAAAGGTTAAATAAAATATCTAGGTGGAAAATTATCCTCAATTTGTGATTTATGACACCGAATGTATGTAGGGACAATTCAAGCACCAGACAACTGCAAGCAATGTAAACATTTCGTGACCTAATTATAATTCTAAACAAAGTCAGAACCCAAAACTATACTAAGCCTTAAATTCCACACCTCAAACTCAAGCTTTGCATTAACCGAGAAGATAAAGGAATCTCGGAAATTCCATTCGTTGTGACAGCAATCTGGACTTAAGCCTTGTTTGCACATGCCGCGCTAACAAGCCAAGTAAATAGAGGGGCGAAGACCCAAAACCTCAGTACGAGTCTCATTAAGTGCGCCACAGTCCTCAATACACAAAAAGCAAAGCTGTACGGTCCTTTCCCCCCAAAATTCCAGGAGCAGGACATTGTCAACATTTCGTGCAGCAGTCAAAATTGTCTGGCAGGAAATGAATTTACTTTTGGGGCAGGGACACCAGGAACAGGAAGCTCGCTGTCATAGTTGCTGCCATAATTATCTTGTTTACAAGGTGAAGGTGCCACCCTGCCCCAACCAAAACTGGACACAAAAAACCCAGAGCAAATTGTGGCCGTAACCAGTGGCAGTCGTTTGCTGGCTGGGCCTTAAAATTTATGACTGCACAACACATTGGGTATATTAATTTGAATATGATTGCTCCTGGGTAGCGATGGTGAATTCCAGCTAGTTCATTATATTAAGCAAGCACATAGATACATAAACAAAGATATATCTGACGGAAAATGGGAAAGGAGCCCGGCATGTTAGTATGCTCATATAATATTTGTATTGCAGATTAGTAAAATGGACAATTTTGCTGCTGCCCTCAGCCTTCCCGTCATTAATTACGGTTTTCACCCTCGCTTAGAGATATCTGGGGAGATTAAAAGCTGGCTTCTTTTGGTCTGAGTGTAGGAATCTTAAGAGTATGCCCTGACAATTATTAATTGTGTTGCCTGTCGTCTGCTTTCATGACAGAATTCCTGGCTTGTGGTTGTTGTCCCTTACAGAGAAGGTAAAAGAGGAGATAAGATGCAGTAAAGAAAACAAATTCTTAGGATCATTAGGTTAATTTAATCAAATAGCTTAGCTAAAAAAATAAACAAAATTAAACATTTAAATTTCCTACCATTTTGAGATGGACAGTTAACTTATTATTTTTGTGTTGTGCCTTACCAACATTGCTTTCCCTAGTTTTAAATGTATTTTATTAAAAAGAAATGTAAAAAAAATGTTCCTTCTAACTGTTTATTGATGTTTTTCCTGACTGCTCAATTAAATATTTTAAACCTTGGAAAAACAAAGCTGGTTAGATAAATAAACATCACTGATTGGCAGAGCCAACCGAAATAGTCCAACATTACCACTTCTAAAAACTGCATTTGAAACCCAAAGCAGACATAAAACCATTTGTGTCTCCATTTGTGTATCTCAATCAATTTGCAGCAAAGTAAACTCGAGTAGAGTCAACAATCATTTTGCCAACGATGTCTGTGCTCCTTGCCTGATTCCCAGGCACATTTGTCATTTGAATTAACCGAAAAACTCAAGCAGCTTTCACAGCTCCCTGAGCAAATTTATCATTGCCTACTTTTCAGGCACTCAAAGCGTTTTCCCAGCGCTTTTCGTCAAAAACTAAGCCAGTCTGGCTCACTTCAAGTCGATGGGCGGAAAATGGGAGACGGGCTGAAAAAACGGGGTAAACGGGAACCCTTCAGCGAGTTCATTAGCCCCCAAATGGTTTGATATAATGCGACGGGAAAAAAGACTGGAGAAAGCAACTGCAAAGAAAATACAAATTAATAGGAAATTAATGAAATGAACGGAGTTTTACGGGACGAGGAGGAGGGCAGCACTGAGAGTGGGTAAAGCTGAGGCTAAGAATCATCCAACCCGAAAAACGTGGCACAGAGCAAGAGCTGGAAAATGTGTCAAGCCAATGTCCGCTAGCTTTTCATGATCCCTTGCCAACCACACTGAAACAAAAAACTTCAAAAGTTAACTGCTTCATTGGTATAAGTAATACCAATTAAAAGGTTTAAAAAATAAATATTTTATTTAACGGGCAAGTAAAAAATGTTTAACGTGCCAAGATAACTGTAATAGCAAGGAGACCTTTCATATTTTTTTGTCAGTGCACCCAGCCACTATCCACTGCAAGAATATGCAAGTAATTAAACAATTTCTGCGACCCTCTAGGGCAAACATGAGAGGGACTCCGCAGCTCGTTCATTACGGCAATTTTTCAGCTCAAGAGTTGCATTTTGTTTGCGCTAATATCCGGTAGGGGTTCCAGGCCCCACTAAAAACCCCCTCGTCACTTTTCCTAACCCCTTCCTGCTTTTACGACGCTCTCAAATGTTATGAGTGCCAGCAAATTAGCTGAAATTACCGCCACGAGAGGGCAAGTAAGGCAATGTCGCTAATTGTTAAAGCGAAGTGCATTTTTCTTGTTCCTCCACTTAAAGACTCGAAGAGCTGAGGCAGCAGGAGCTCACCTTGATCCTTGAAGGCTCACAGCTCAGGGCTCAAACAAATTGGGTGCCCGTCATTTCGTGACACCGAAACCTGCCACATTAATTTTCCGCCAGCAAATCTAGGCCAAGACAAAGAAGGCTCGGCTTCGTAGAAAAAAGAGAGATTGAATTAGACAGGACACAAGGCAAACAAATGCGGCCGGCTTCTAAGCAAAGACGCCATATATTTAGCTTGACCAAAAGAGGACATCTTCTTTCAAGGATAATAGAAATACAACAAGCCAAACAAAATGAGAGCATCCCAAAAACCGACGCTTCACAAACTAAATTGTGGGCGAAAGATGGGAATTCCACATATGAGGGTAAAGGGCATTGATGGATTGCCCTCATTTCCAAGAAGTGACCTTGAAACGGCAGCATTTAAGAAATATAATTTTAAGATGGACCACAATTGTACTTCGTAATTAATGAGTCAAAATATGCACTAACTTTTTATAAACACAAAATGTAATTAATCTGGTTAAAATATAATTAAGCAATTAAATTAAATTTAAGATTAAATTTACACGCACTCTATATATTAATCATTTGTAAAGCAAAACGCACCATCGAAATTATTTTGAACTTAATTTTGGTTTGTGATATTTATTTTAACATTACAAAAGTTTAATAGCTGGAATACCAAATATAATACAAATAATTTCAAAGTTCTGGAAGACAGTCACAAAAAAGACGAATAATATCTTAAATTTAATATTCATTACACGATGTGGGAATACTCTTGACGAAATTTTGCACGAATGTAATATATCTCTTGTGTATCTTTACTCGGAGAACATTATCATCGAGTTTCTCTTCTTGAAGCCACCATATTTTCTCGCTATTCTTCACAAACTTTTTCACCTGCCTCAATCCTTTCCGGAGAAATTGAACGCCATTAGGAATGGCCTGAAACCCCGTGGATAAATGCAGGTTTAACGGTGGGTTAAATCCCCAACTGGGCGAAGCCATCACTCACTTACTCATTCACTCAGCGGCAATACAATTACATAAGTGTCACATGGACCGTGGGGCATAATCAGGTTGAGCTGGCAATGAACCAATACTCACAGTATGTTCAAGCCAAACCGAGAATAAATAAAAGTGTGAGTGAGTGTGAGGCAGCAAAAAGAAAGCAAACAAAATGCCCAATATAAATGCGCTGTCCATCAATCAAAATGATCACTCCAATGGCGAATGCCGAAAAAATGTTAGAGAAGCCTAAACGGAAACGGAAACGGAAGCATAACGTGCCCGTGTACAAAGAATGTTTAAGGTAAGCCAAACAATGGCCGAAAAGGAAATGCCTTCGGTAAACGTTTAGCATGTGTGTTTGGGTGTGCTGGTGACAATAAACAAACTGGCAAACAAATAGACGGCCTACAACTTTGTTTACACAAACACTTTGGCAAAATGTCGACCACATTGCGTATACGCCACCGACAACCGAAACAGCCGCACATAGCAGGCCAAAACCACGCCCCCTGATCCTTACTCACTCGCTTCATGGTCGAAGGGAACAGGGGGGTCTTTGTTGCTGTTGTTGCTTGAGTATTTACGGCCTTGGTGGTAAAATGAAACACACTCCAGGCAGTCGGGCAGCATCCACCTACAAACAAACAACTCAACTCAGCCCACGTAACGCGCCACGAATCGGAGACACAGGGAAACGCGACTGTAGTAGATTGAGCGGTGGGTTAAATAGTTTTAAAAAAAATATTTTGATACATGTAAACTAAGTAACTGCTTATCTTACAACATTCGCTTAGCAAAAAAAATTATGCAAACGCTTAGTTTATAAACTTAATTATTTAAAGTTATTCATATATTCATCGGTACTGATTTAGCCGGAGGGGTTTTTTGTTTTAAGTATGAAAAATTTAGTTTAAAAACGAAATAAAATCGAATTCTTAAATTTTTCCTATGCGAAAAAAACAATGAAACATGTTAATAACTTCTTAATCATATCCATTGTTTATTTTAAATAAGTTTATATTTTGAAAACAAATGTTTTATTCAAATATATTAATGATTAATTTTACTATGGGATTATTCTCTAATAAAAATACTTTCGTCATAATTATTTAAGAATCTACTCTGATAGTCAAACTGATATTTTTTTGCTTCATATTTTGGTAAATCTAAGCATTTTATTTTGTTTTTACTTCTAGAGAACTTTTGGAATCACCCATGGCATATGTAAATGTGGCTTACTTACGCCTCACACGCACACTTATGCACGGACAATTGCTGGCAGCCATGAACCATGAGCTCCATGAGTTCCCTGAGCCCTCCAGCAGCCATCGCATCGCATGTGTGACAACTCAACTCAAAGGAATTTATAATATGCAGCTAATTTATCATTCCTTTTTGCCGCAGCTGCGGGGAACAACTAAAAGTGTGAGGAACTATAGTGAGCATCTAGATTTTCCATACCCAAAGAATAAAAAGAAACCGTAAACAATGAACATTAAGGAAACTCAACAGTAAAGTGCTGATAATTTGTAGTTGAGCCACAGACAAGTTGAGTTATCCAACTTTTAGAGCCCGCTGATGATTCGCTCTCGGCGAGTTTTGTGGCTCGTTTTATGGGATACTATAATTTTGGCCGTTCCTGGTGTTGGCCAGCTCCATAAAAGAGCCAAACTGGAAAACAGCGAAACTAAATCCAATAGAGGGAAAACTCATTAAAATAGAACAGCTAGCGGGGTCCAAAATGTGTCACTTGTGCTGTGCTCCATGCTCTGTGTTGTTAGATCACAAAAAGCGTGTTCGCAAATAAAAGAATTTCCACGGAAAGTGCTATGGCAACAAGGATATGCGAGAGCACAAAAATGCAACACACCGCAAAAATACAATAACTCATTCAAAACCCAATTTGTTTCCGGCCTGTTTCCCCAACGAATTAATTATGATATCAGCATAACAATTTGCATAACCTCAAAATGAAAGCCAGACATGCACACCACGCCCAACCGAACTCGAATACAATGCAATGGGATGAGTTGGGCCGCAAATGAAATAAAACTCGTTTTCCCAAATGCCATATCAGCTCAGCAGATGTATAGGCAAAGATACAATGCTCGTATAACAATGAGGCCCAGCTACAGTCCCAATCTCCAACGGTTTCTGCTACAAACATTCAGCAGATGGTAACTCGCAATACCCTAAAATGGTAATATCTTAATAAACAACATTCCATGTAGTTTGATATGAATACTATTAGTATTATTTATTGTTGACAGGATAATTTATTTGAGAGATATTTACCTTATTCCCTAGAACAAAATCAATTTAAATTGATTTAATAAAAATGACTGTGGTTGTGAGGCCGTTTTAACGTTGTAAAGCCTGATCCGCACAAAATATTAATTTCTCTTGACTCTGCTCTCTTTTTAAGACAAAAATATAACAAAAAAATAATTGTTGGATTAGAGGGTTAACTTTGAAAACACAATTATATTATTTTTATTTACCGTGGCAATAGTGACTTATAATATGAGAGACCTCCAAGAAGTGTATCCCCTTTATTCCGAAATTTATCCAGGTCCCTTACAGTCTCCATTTACTTCATTTTTTTACACCCAATCTCAATGTGGCAGTGTGTCTCTCTTTGTATGATGAAATTGCATAATCGTTTCCAGTTGTTGCACAATTATTGAAAAGCCTGTTGTGCGTGTGTGCCAGTATATGACCCTATGAAGGAAAGAATCCAAAAAGAGGGAGGCAGGAGGCCGCAGAAAAAGGGGGAAATCAACAAGGGGAGGGAAACCCAACGGGGCGTAAAATTCAGTGGACGAGTGTTGCAAACGCAAACAGAATACCATGAAACCAGCCACACCAGAAGCTTTATGGCAGTGTTGTCAGGAAATCGAAAATTTGTAAGCCACACAAAATTTAATTGTTTAGCGATGGCCCCCAAGGAGGAGAGCTAATTTGGCGGTTGCAATTCGGCAGCCATCACTGACATATTAAGTGACCAGCAACGATGGCACTATGAGTCCAGCCGCAAGAATCCAATGAGATATGGAATAAACTATTATTCAGCATGTCGAAAAACTGAAAATCTCATTTCATAGACAGCAAAATAAAGGGAAAACGACAGCCAACATTGACAAGCCAAAGACAGTGCCCATTGAATCGGGGGAGTAGAGAACTTGGCACAAAAAGGCAAAACCTGTCAGTTTCAGTTAGCCATTCAAGAGTCTCGGCCAGACAGAATAGAAGGAAGCAGGGCAACGAGGGGAGCAGGGATCATGGAGCGGCAAAACGAAGGCAGCTCAGTGTGCAACCGCTTCGGGAAGGACTCTGCGACCGTTTTCACATGCAACTTCCGTTTCCGATTCGCCTTTGTGCAGTTTTCACCATTTTTCTGTGGCTCGAGATGTGCTTAACACTTAGAAAAATTAGAAAAACTGAATAAATACAAAATTATTTTTGACTGACTTCAGATTATATAGTATATCATTTCCTAAAAATTAAATTAATTATTTATAAAAAGTAGACAAAAGCTAAATAAATCTCCAAAATATTTAAATAAAAAATGTCTGTTTACTTAAACATTGCTTGTAATGGCATGAATGGTACTTTATATTCTTAACATCAGAGTTTAGTAAAAGGTATAAAGAGTTATTATATAATGTATTCAACTTTTAAAATATTTGTATTAAATCTACTTATTTAAGACATACCATGAGGAACATTTTGCAGTTTTTTTCCGAAAAAAAGCACTGGCTGTCTGATAGTGCAACGTTTAGCCCCTGGACCAGGGCCGTGGAATTGCTGCTTGGCCTGCCAGTGACACGGCCGTTGATTGGTACAACTAGAGGCGACGGTTGCCAGATGTGGTGCGGGTGTCGGTGTCGTTTACCATTCGGGGTTACCTTCAATGCACTCGAGGTCCAGAGACGAACAAAGCCAGTTTCAGTTGCCTTTGAATCTGCAAATGCTTTTGCTGTTGCTGTTGCCTGGTTAACCAGGTTTTGAGGTGTGCCTGTGCTTCTTTTGTGGACGGTGTTCTACACATGTCCAATGCCAATATCATGTTCAGATACTTTAAGGACTAGTCTCTGCTGGATAAAAGGGTGATATTCGCCATGGAACAACTGAGAGCGCTTTTTATGTGAATTAAATGGGTGTTGAGCTTGACTAAATTTCAGTTTAACCAAGGTTAAACATTTTTAATTACTTTGTCTGTACAGAATTCTTATATTATAACTTTTTTCTTGTTTGTTGCTCAGACATCTTAACTTTAAGATTTAGCTATTTTGGCACAGTAGGAAGTATTTAGTTTGGGCGGTATAAATATGCCTAATACATTGTTTACTCTGTTAATTCGTATTACTGACAGATCATAAAACACAAAACAACTTTAAAATATATAGTGAATTTAATAAATCGAGTAATTGTGTGTATTATATTTGACCAGCCACAAATATAATTATCAGATAATTGAATGCTGTGGCTAGTAAACCAATAATTAACCATTAAAATTATTCCTTTTTTATATGAATGTTTCTTCTTTTGGTTCACAATTAAATGGAACTAATTAGAGACTATTTTTTACCTTTTTACAAATCAGTCGGAAATTACACTGTCACCAATGCTTTTCATTATTCAGCGAGGCATTACGGAACCTTTGCAATGTTCACTTTCCAGCTAACTTTGTAATCAACTTTATGTTCTACTAGTCTGTTCCGCAAGCTCCACTTTGAACCAGAACCTGCTTACTTTTTCTAATACCAATTAGCGCTTTGGATGCAAGTCCCCTCCGGTGAGTTCTCCTCACCTCCAAGAGGAAATTTATTCAATTATCTCTAGCCGAATGTCGGAGGAATTGCCTTGCGTCGCATCAAATAAAAGTCGCTTGCACTTTTATACAAATTAGTTTTGCCCACAGCAGTACCACTGCTACTACAACAGAAGTGTCAAAGTCCGTCCAACCAACAAAAAAATAAAGCAACAAAGAAAGCTAAGCAACAACAAAAACTTAATAAATACCACACTGCCAGGGGTCAACTGGTTGGCTGATTATAAGGCTAAAGCCGGGGAAAAAGCTACGAAAAACATGAAAGTATATATAATTGTTAAAGCCACTGAAGTTCAAATACTCTTGTTTTCTAATATATTTTTTTTTATACAGACTACTTCAACTGAAGATGCAAACAACATTTTTAGAAAGGAATTAAATAACTCGTAAGCGTGTATTTCATAAATGTAAATATATGTTAAATTCTGCGAGCATAGATTCTCAACTATTATTTCTAATAAAAAAAATAAAATGTGTGTCATCATTTTTATACATATGTAAATAAATAAATACAAGCAATATTAAAAATATTTAAATACAATTATTATATTTATGTATTTTATAGGTTCGAAATATATGGTAATGGAAAAAATGTTATGCTCTTTATATAGCCGTTTTAATAGAGTGTTTATGCGCGAAAGATTTTACAGCGGAGATAAACAGCCAGTCAAAAGGGGTGAGAAAATGGGGGGAGCGATCTTATCCAGAGGGTGCAGAATTATCCACTCCCACCCATCTACCATTTGCAATTTTTATTGTGGGCTTGCTTTTATTCACACAGTTTTTTATATTCTTTTCGCTTGCAAAAGCGAACCATAATAAAAATGTCAAATTGCGACAAATGCGACAGGATGTACGATACTAATGAACTGTCACTGCCATCGCTTCTTCAATTCGATTCAATTTCCCGACAACTTCAAGTTTTCGTAATAAAAATGTATTCTTTTTTTAGCCTGCACACTGGATGGCGCCAGCCTGCAATTTAGAGTTAGAAATTTTTTTAATTAAATTTATGTTTGTCTCAGAGTGGCACTCCTAAAAATGACAGGAAACATAAACACAAAAGGAAGATAGGCCATCATCTCGACAAAAAAAAGCAAAAAAAAAGCGCCAAAGGAAAATAAAAAAAAAGGATTGGACTCAAAAGTTGTGACGAGTTTCCCTAGGAAACGGAATGCCAAAGTTTTTCAACCATCACCAACAGACTAAGCCCAAGTCGACAACACCGATCAAAATAATATCGTTAGATATAATAAATTTAAAATCTAAAAACTAGAACTTATATAATTAAGGTTTTACAACTTGCTTTCACTTATGTATATATTTAATTAATTTAATATATTTTAATTAATGTAAATGATTGAAATCGAATTTAACTGTGTAAGATACCAATTTATAAAAATAAATAACTAAATGTATATATTAAAGGAGAATAGTATAATTATTTTCATGTTCTAGCCAGATAAAACCAATTATATTGTGTACTTATTATATATAACATTTAATTATCTTAATTTAAAGAGTACATTTTTAAAATTGCTGTTACAACGAAAATATTCTTCAGCTCTGATCACATTATTCTGACCGCAGTCGTTCATCTGCATTTACAAATGAAGTAGAAGTAGAAGTGGAAGTCGCTGGTGGATTGAGGGCATTGCCGGATGTCGACGGGAGATTGGTGCACAAATGAGCAGCCGCAGCCGCAGCACAGCAGCCAGAATTCAGAATCCAGCGAGGAAATGCACAAAAACTTAACCTAATGAACATTAAGATAATGCAACAACATCAGCAGCAGCCTTGGAAGAAGGAACCGGTCCCAGTCCCAGTCCCAGTCCCAGTCCCTGGTCCAGTGCTCCGGTTTCCTCTCCTTGACTACATATTTCTGCATTCGACCTCAGCCGCAAAACTTTTGCTTACTACTAGCTTCAGAAGGACAGCAAACTTGGCACTGTGTCTTCCTATTTATTATAATTAACGTTAATTTTTTCCAAAGCTTTATATATGAATTGTTGAGGTACTGAAAATAAACATTTTACGAAAATTTAAGCCCAAATCAACGAGAGTTTAAAAAAAAAACAATTACTTGTATCACTTGCATAATAAATAACAAAAATAATATAAAATTATTAGCTTATTTTTATTAATTAATAAATTCAAGCACAGTTTGTTTCTATTTTTTTTTTATTAAAACTTTAAATAATAATTTTTTGAGACCACTGTACTGCCCTGGCGAAATGCATTGGGCAAAAAGTGGAAAGGAAACTTGCGTTTGCCATTTGCCAGTTTGCATTCAGCATAAAGTTTTCAGCTTATGTTGTGATTTTTATGACCCAAGAACGCAGG